TATTTAATAATTATCATTATTTTAATGTTTTTAACTTAAACCATGTAAAGTATATTTGTTTGGGTTATAATGGGTTTAGGTTAATGGTTGAAAAAAAAAAAGGATTGTTACTCATTCAAAAGGTTTTTTTTAATTTTGTCCTTAATTACATTCATTTTTTTTATAAAATTATCTTTATAGCGATAAATCCGAAACGATACACAAAAAATTCTGATATCTAATACGTATCGTTCCAATAATAAAATCGGTATACATACCGGTGTGGTATTGACTCCTTTGCTCGAAAGCCACTTAACTCGAAAGGCCACTTAACTCGAATGGCCACTTAGCTCGAAAGGTCAGGTGTGTTAGAGATATTTGTTTAGTCAATGAAGATTTTGAGTTATTCAATGATACAATTTGACATTCATGTTTTTTTAGCTTTTTAAGTTGAATTATATAATAAAAGTGTAATTTAGAAATTTTAATTTTAAAAAAAATATATTTTATTAAAATAATATTTTTTTAAATATTTTTTTCTAACATTTTTACATGTTTGAATAATAAACACTAATTTAAGAGTATAATTAATTAAATAATATAAACAATAATTTTATGTAAAATATTTTAGTAAAATTATGGATTGAACTGCGCTGCAGTCCACCTCAAAAACATTTTTTTATGTAATTTTCTTCCTTCATTTTACATCTCACTTGCTTTTACTTTTAGAAAAAGCAATAAATTGTCAACATACATTGCTAGGTTATTGGCCCAGTGGGAAGGATACTATGAGATCTTTAATCCATTTCATGTGTCGTGTGGATATGGTATGTTGCTAACCAACTAACATTCTTGGAGATAGATGTATTAGTATTAGTAGTCTTATCTCAATAAATTCAAGATATTAAACAATTTGGCCTCCAAACCTATTTGCTTTCATCTCTAGGTTAGCAACTGGAGCTAGGGGAAGGAAAACCCAAATCTTTTTTCCTTTCTGACTACCTCACCCAAATTTTTTAATGGTACTTTTTTAATATATTTTTAGAGAAAAATATTTTTTTTCTATTTTTACTTTATTATTGTCTCTTATAATATATTTAAATTGATAAGAATGAAAGAGAAAAGAGAGAAAAGAAAAAACAAATTCTTCTATTTGATTATCGAAAGAATTAATAGGGAGGACAAGGAAGGAGAGGATAAATTTTTTTAAAAAAAATTATTTACTTTTTTTTTAAAACTCAAATATACAATTAATTTTAAATATTTATTTTATTATAAAAAATCTCTTTTTATTTTTAGCTTTTTTTAAAGTATCTTTTAAATAAAAATAAAAATTATTTTAAAATCTTGAATTTGAAGATCATTAAAGTCAAAAAATAACTATTATCATAAGACAAGTGAATATGAAATCATGACTTAGACCCTAATAAGAAAATTCATGGCAATCATATCCAGCACGAAAGCTTTTTATTTTATAAAATGAGAATCAAATAAATATAATGTGAGCATGTACGTGGGAATTGGAAAGAGTCTAGGATGACTTTAATTTTGCATTTCCCTTTCATTAATCTTTTCTTCTTGTACGTTTTAATGCGCAATTTGTCAAACGGAATGTCCCTTTAGATTACGACACGGAATGCCCCTTTACATTTACGAGCCTTTGGGGACGGATGACTTTGCTGGATATATATATATAGTCCCCACACTTAAAGTCAAACGTACCCTTCACATTTCACATGATCAATGACCATCAAATTTATTTGGTTTAAATTTTTGGGGGGTTTGATAATGTGCTGCTGAGTTTTCAAATTTTAGTGAGTTTGTTAAAGAAAACGCAGAATCTACATGCCAAAAACCTTTTTCGTGCCATAGAATGTCAGAGACTCACCGTTCTTGCTATGTTGTTTGACATAAAATGAAGAGAAAATAAATGTCAAAACCACCTAACATTTAAAATGTTAAAATT